GCTTATAAGGATTCTAAGCTATAGGGTAGGTTGCAAAATCAAGCTTCAAGTATAGCTTATGGTAAAGGGTTATAGAAGGCTATAGTGGATAGCTAGTTAGAAATAGGAATAGCTAGCGCTATAAGCTAGCTATAGGGCCCTAAAGAGCAGGGGAGTAAGCACTAAAATAAGCACTATAAGCACTATTGGATAGCTATTACAAAGCATACTAAAATCTGACATAAGATATACTAAATTAAGGGGGAAATTAAGGAGAAAATTAAAGGGGAAATTAATGAAAAAAATTCTATAAAAATAAGGAGATGTCCTAAAGATTTAGTTTTTGCACTATAAGATTTACTATACTTTATATTATTTACTTTTACATTATTCATTATTATTATTATTTTCAAAATGGCTGAATTTGAAGATTTTGCTGATTTAGAGTTAAATTCATCTTTTATTACTGAAAGTAATGATAATAATTCTATTTCTACAATTTTAACAAATGAAATTCCTATTTTTAAATATAATAATATAAATTTTGTATTAGAAGCTAATGAACATTCCCGAATTTATATTTTTCAACATAATTTATTTTCCCGAACTTTATTACCCATTGATTTAAAATCAGAACGAAAAATGAAGTTATTTTGCTCAAGGTTAGTTTTTTTTTTTATTTCCTTTATTATTTCTTTAAGTATATTTTATTAATTTATATATATTTTTAGTTGTTCTTTTACTGGGATTGCAAATGTTGAAAATTTTCAATCTTCGAATTTTGTTAAACATTATCAACTAAAACATCCTGAAATTGCTTATAATAAAAAAACAGAAAAAACACTTAAAAGAAGTAAGTTTTATTATATTTCTTATATATTTTTTATTAATTTTTTTTTTTAGAAAATCCTTTACAACCTATGGAAAATTCTTCTTCTAAAAAAATTAGACATATTTCTACTTCTTTTAATGAAGATACTGCATTGCAAAAAATACTATTTTTCATTATTGAAAATAATATTTCTTTTAATGTTTTATCTTCAGTTTCTTTTCAAGATTTACTTCTTTACTTTAATAAGTAAGTTTTCCTTTATTATATTATATAATAAAGGAAATATTAATTTTTTATTTTATTTTAGGGATACACCGGTTATTAATCGACATAAAATAAAAGATATCCTTTCTGAGAATTATACTAAGGCTTTATCTGAATTAAATTCTAATTTAGAATTAAATATTCAAAGCTTTGGTTCTTTTTCTATTACTTTCGATATTTGGACTTCTAATAATCAAGATTCCTATTTAGGAATTATTTTGATTTTTATTAATTCAAAATTTCAGTTGATTTATAAATTAATTGGTATGTTTTTTTATTATTAATTATTATTATTATTATTAATAATAATTTTATAGGTTTTGAAGAACTTTTAGAAAGTCACACTGGTTTATATATTTTCAAAGCTTTTCAAAAAGCTATTAAACCATTTCCAATTTTAAATAATTTGGAAAATATATTTAGGTATGTTTTTTTATATAAATATATTTATAAAACTTCTTTTATTAATTTTTTTTTTAGTATTACACGAGATAATGCTGGGAATAATAATACCTTTATAAGCTTTTTTAAAAATACTTTTAAAGCTATTAACGACAATAATTTTATTAATGATATACGCTGTATAGCACATATTATTAATTTAATTTCCCAGGATATTCTTAAGGAATATATATCGAATTCTACAACTTTAAAATTATTATCAAGTTATATTTCTTTTATTAATCTTGATATAAATGTTGAGAATAACGAGATTTTTCCTGATTCCTTTAATACTAGTAAGTTATTTCTTATTTCTATTTTTTTATTATTTTTTTAATTTTACTAATAATTTTTTTAGATATAATTAACAAATTACGGAAAATTGTTACATTACTGAAATATTCCCAAGAACTTCATTCTTTATTTAAAGAAGGAATTATTAAAGGGAAAAAGGATTTTAAAATCCTAGAAAATTATATTATTCAAAAAATCCCTCTTGGTTAGTTTTTTTTATTATTTTTATTATTTTATTTTAATTTCTTTATTAATTTTTTAATAGATGTTCCTACACGATGGAATTCAACTTATTATATGCTTGATGCTTCTATTAATTTAAGAGAAGCTTTATTATATTGTTTTAATAATACAAATAACAAAGAGTTTAAAAAAGTAAGTTTTTTTTATTTTTTTATATTTTTTTTTAAATATATATTAATTTTTTTTAGGTTTTTCTTCTAGAAATCGAATGGAATGCCCTAATAGAATTAAGAAAGATATTTCTTATTTTTCTAAAACCTTCTATTAAATTACAAGGGCAATTATATATTACGATGTCAATGGCTTTATTATATATTTATGAAATATTTAATAAACTAGAAAAAACTTCTCTTTTATACCAAAAAAGCATTGATGAAAAGCATATTGCTGTAAGTTTTTTTTTATATTTATATTCTCTTTAATAAATTTTTTTACTAATTTTATTTATAGTCAAATTTTTATATTCTATTTCAGAATGCTATTAAAATGGGTTTAGTAAAATTAGAAAAATATTTTCCTAGGAAAATGTTACCTTCTGATTTAACTATATATAAACCTTATTTATTTAGTATTTTATTAGACCCTCGTTTTAAAAACCTACATTTCCTAGACGAGGGTTTATTATATTTTTATCCTTCTATTAGCAAAGATATTCTTCTTTTACTAAAAGAAGAATATAATCTGTGAGTTTTTTTCTATTTTTAAAAAATATTATATTAATATTTTATAGGGTTAAAGAAGATATTAAGAAAAAGGATTTATTAAATAATTCTTTACATACATTTGATAATAATTTAAATCAGTCATCAAGTCCGAATTATAATTCAGATTCTGATAATGATTTATTTTTAAAGTCAAATCCTATTAAAGAAGATGAAATTCTTCTTTATTTTAAAGAAGATTGTTTAAAGAAAACGGTAAATAATTCTTTTTTATTATTTTTTTTAAAAAAATTACTAATATTTTTTATAGAAAGATCCTTTACAATTCTGGTCTTTTAATTCTGATAAATTTCCTATATTATCTATATTAGCAAGAAAGTATTTAGCAATTCCTGCTACTTCTGCTTCTATAGAAAGTATATTTTCTATTAGTAATAATATTATTACTAAATCAAGAAATAGATTAAACCCTAATCTATTTAAGGAAATTATATTAGTCAAGAATTGGTTAAAGGATTTTAAGGAATCTGAACTAAATTATTTAGAAGATTTAGAAAAATAGCTTTTTTTTTAGTTTTTTATAGTTTTTTTTAATATACTTGATTTATAAATTTCTTAGTTTTTAAAATGTAATTTTATAATAATTAAACAGTTATTTTAAAATAATAAATAAACTATAAGAAAGTATTATATTTAAGGTTTCTAAAAATATATTTTTTATATTATATATTTAAATTTTATATATTATAAATTAAAGAAAAGTAATTATAAATATAATTTACTAAGTAAAATAAACAGTCAAAAGGGTTAATGCTACTGTAACTGCTTGCTAAATATGTTGTTTTATTAATATTACTTATATATAAAAACTTAAAAAAAAACACTATTATTTAACTTTTATATTACGTAATTAATAATTGGAATTATTATATAAAAAAATTATTATTAGAAAGTCCTAAACTTACGCTTTATTTTAGTATAGCTTACGTAATCTAATTCCTTTTAATAGTTGCAAAATCGCTGAGTGTTTAATAGCTGTTTTTGGTATTCATTTCCGGCTTTGGTTGCAAATAGTGCCCAGATGTGGATTTGACGATTTTCGAGCTTTTTGCAAGGCTCCCCCCTTACGATCCTGAAGACCCGCTTTTTCAAGCGATCTGATTGGCTAAAAGCGCTTATATAAGCAGAATTCTAGCCTTCTTATTGGCTAGAATCCCTGAAAAAGTGGGTCTGCAGAAATTGAATCCGATTTTTGAACTTTTGGAAAGCTGGGCTTTATAGTGCTTTTAAGCACTATAACCCACTGTAAGCTTGCAAGCTTATAAGGCCTTATAGCACTAAGCTATATTAGGCAGTAGCTATTAAGCAAGGCTGTAAGCTAGGCCTAATTAGGTAATAGCTTATAAGGATTCTAAGCTATAGGGTAGGTTGCAAGATCAAGCTTCAAGTATAGCTTATGGTAAAGGGTTATAGAAGGCTATAGTGGATAGCTAGCTAGAAAGAGGAATAGCTAGCGCTATAAGCTAGCTATAAGGCTCTAAAGAGCACTAAAATAACCGCTATAAGCTCTATTTTCTAATTACAATAAGCTACAGTCTTAGAATACATAGCTATTGGATTTTAGGTATAGGTTTGTAAAGTACTTTACTAAAAGTATAAGACTTTATGCTTATTACTAAGCATTATAATATATAAATTATACTAAAATATAGCGCTTTTTCTTAGCTTTTTAATAATATAAATCTTATTTTCTATTTCTATTTATAACCTTATAAAAATTAAAGATAAATAAAAAACTACTACAAAGTTAAAGATTATTAAGCAAAGATTTAACTAACTAATTTAGGAAAGCGGTATACTAAAAGTCCAGTAAAATATCTAAATTAGGAAGGCGGTAAACCTTAAAAAATTTTTATTATATAATTATATTAGTTTTTTAATTTTATTTTATACTAAAAATACTAAAATTTTAGTATTTTTAGTTACTAATACTAAATTAGTATTAGTAACTAATACTAAATTTTTACTTTAGTATTAGTTACTAATACTAAAAATATTTTAGTATTAGTTACTAATACTAAAAGTTTCAGTTTTTTAGTATTAGTTACTAATACTAAAATTTTAGTAACTAATTTACAACCCTGGTATTACTCATTGACAACGCCGGCGTTGGCCGATCCGAGGGCGACGTTCCCGATACCTTTGCCGGTTGGGCGGCGCATTACAGCGCCGTGATCAAGCAAATCCTTGGCCAAGGTAGCAAGGTTGACGTATTAGGCTATTCCATGGGCGGTTGCGTTGCGCAGCTCATGGCTCTGAACGCGCCGGAGCAGGTACGGCGATTGGTGCTCTGCGGAACGACTCCCAGCTCCGGTGACGGCGTTAAACCCTCGCCCGATGGCAAGGCGTTCAAGCGCCTAAAGGCGGCCAGGACCGTGGAGGAGGAACAGCAAGCTTTCGAGGAGGGCTCCTTTGTGCAGCGCTCTGAGCGTAGTCGAGAGGCGGGTAAGCGAGCATGGAAGCGCATCGCCAACAGTAGAAGCGACTCCGGAGAGGTGAGATGCGAACCAGTGCCTCCGGGGCCGGCTCATAAGCAGGCGCTTGCGTTTGTCAGGTTTATGGATAAGAAAAACGCTTCCGAGGGGAGTTATGACCGGCTCGGCCAGCTGCGTCTGCCGGTGCTAATCGCCAATGGTGAGTTTCTCTCGCGTCTGCTTCTACCCCCCTCCCTCCCTCTCTCTCTCTCTCTCTCTGGCCCCCTCTTAAGTCTAATTCTAGCGGCGGCCCCCCTAACCAATGGATCGAGCATCCGTCGGGCCACTGCGTAAAACAAGAAAAGAAGCAGTTTGCTGATACGCCCGCGCTTCCTGTAGGTTGCGAGGACTTGCTGTTACCTACCGACAATAGCATCCTGATATGGAAGATGCTTAGCTTCGCGGATGCACGGCTGCATTTGTTTCCGGATTCAGGACATGGGTTTCTGTACCAATACGCCGACGAGCTTGCGAAGCTTGTAAATGACTTTCTTGGCAGCAGCAGCTCGAGTCGCGGCAGCCGGCTTTGAGCGCTCCGGAACGTCCATGGCATGAGTGATACTAGTGTCGATGCCTGTCTCGTACCTTAGTGAGCATGCAAGTCGCGTCTGTCGACGACGACGCGACGCCAAGTTGTTTTCCTCATTGGTCTTTCTTTGCTTTTGGGTCGCTGCAAGCCCCGCCGCGATCAGCTAGGTCGTCATGTAACGAGAAAAATGATGACCCAGCCCAGGGGCAGGTAGATGAATGGTAACATTTTTTGGTTTTGAACAAGACCGCGGCGGTGCCTCGTAGCCATCCCCGGGCATCCTTGTGCGTGCTTCCCGTTGCGTTGTGCATGTTTCCCCCTTTGAAGCTGGTATCACATGCAAGACGGGCCATTTGTCGCGAAGTTGTACATGGTGCTCCGTAGATTAGTACTCAAGGTAGGGAGGTGAGGCAGCCAGCCAATCATCAACGAGCGTCGACGATAACAATGTTGCAGCTCACAGGAATTGAGCAATGGCAGCAATGCAGCTGAGCACATAAACAGTCATCCCTTGAGAAGGAAGATTAAGGGTTAAGGGGGCTTTTTCTTCTTCCCCTTCTTTCTCTAAATCCAGCAGCAAATGTGACGGGGGCAAGAGTCCTTCCGAAGGACGGATGTCGGAATAAATTTCACTTTTCTTGGCCTCTACCCTTTCTTCTGTGCCTCTCTCCACACTTTGCTGACGAGAATTGGGTAGCACGAGCTATTACTGGTAGCCGCTCCGAGGGTGGTAGTTGTGCTTTGTGCTGGTTTGACTTTACTAGCGGTGATCATAATGCTGCTTGTGCACACTTGGTAAGCATCAAAGGAGGGAGCTAGCAGGCAAGGTTGGGTAGGTAGTAGAGCGCCGCTCCCGGCTTTGCGTTACAGTCGTCGGCCCGTATGCGATATACGAGTGCTCGTACTGGTAGGTAGCAGAAAAGGGAAAGAAGGAGAAAAAAATTAGGCAGTACGGGGGGAGATGGGAGCCGAGGCGGCGTCGGTCATCTTGCAGCGGCGCTTGACAATGACGACGTCTCTTGTCTCGCAAAGAGCGTCGGGCAACGACATGACATTGGTTCTGGCGCTGATCCAGGCGAAGCGTCAAGGCGAACAAGATTGGTTGGTTGTTTAGCGTCGTCTTGTCAGAGTATCGGCTGGCCACCAACTTGCAGCTCCCTCCGCCTCAGCCGCTCTCATTCACGAGGACAGTCAGCCACCTGCCCGCTCCATCCAGCCGAGCGAGCCTTGCTTGGGGTCGACCAGTCGCTCTCGACGAACGAGAAAACGAGGCCAAGTGCAGGATAGGGGCCAGCCGTTCCCGCTATTGGCGTCCGTCACGCCACCCGGCGGTCCCGTTGGCGGCACCCATTCTAATCCTGCCTAATGAAAAGCAAACGCACGAGACAGAGCTGCGGGTGACAAGACACATCCGCGGCCCCCAAAACCAGCCAGAGAGAGTCGCGATTGGGAAGCTGCACGGGTGTGGAAGTGAATCTTGACTGCTGGAGAGCCCGTCTGGCTCAAGTCAGGCAAAGGGCCAGATGCCGTCGTTATGGATCCTAGATTCGTACAGTACGCCCGCGGGTAAAAAGGCCATGTTCCGTTTTGCCTTTTTCGCTGCTGCGTTGTTGGTAAACCTGGGAGCTTGGTGCGTTTTTCGAGGCCCACGCACGCAGCAGATGCAGATGATGAGGTACGACAGACGCAGGCTGCACGCCTCTGAGATGGTACCTACATAAGGTAAGCAGCGTCAAGGCATGTACAAGTAGTGCTCCCAAGCACAGCTCCGTCCACGTATCGTATCGTATGTACGGAGCAGCGGGCGGCAAAGATGAGATCCAGATGCAACGTTCAAGGCAAGGCAAGGCAGGGAGAGAGAGACGAGACAGCACAGGACTTGATTTGATTTGACCGGACAAAGAGGAGAGGGAGGGAGAGGGTGTAAGGAAGAGAGTGAGAGAGAGGCAAATGCCAACTTTTTGAGCATCCGCGGGCTGGACTGGACTGGACTGGCTTGGAGCCGACATTAGTATTATTCCATTGCAGCACGTCTGATTGTGACTCCGTACAATACCTACAAGCTGTCAAAGTACCTTCTGGTACTCGTGCGGCCTCTCCTCTCCTCTCCTCTCCTGTTGCTTGACTCCATCCCCGTCCTCGTGTTGGTGCGCCCGCGGCTGGTGCTGATGCTGGCAAGCTGAGGCTCGTCCCATCAATTGGATTGATGATATATTACAGATTACAGCTGCACCCCATTGGCAGCCGAGCTGATGAGGCCGGTTGAGCTCCGCATCGCTGCCGGCGGGGTTGCTCCAGCGCAGCGCCGCCAGCCTTTAGTATGTATTTAGGCGTTCACCCACTGCAGCGTGCGCCAGGCTCTAGCGGCACCCTGCCTGACGGGCGAGTGATCAGCGCCTAGGGAACAGAGGCCTGCACGTAGCCGCCGTCACAGACCGTCGGTGAGGGCCAATGGCAGCATCCCTGATCTCATCCCTGGCGAGCTGCACTAATGTACGAGTACTGTAAAGTCTAGCAAATTGATGGAACTGATAGCAAACCTATGGAAATGGGTGGTGTGGCAGGGGCTGGGTTTGCCGGGCCGTGGTTGCCTTTTGCTGCCTCGACTCTGGCCAATCCTGCTGCTCCCCGTCCCCTCTTCTCAGGCCTTGTTTCCTATTTTCGCAGGCTGGTAGCGCACCACTGCACCTACCTGCAGTGGCCCTTTCCGCCGCCCAAGTCAGGTCAGCCGGCCAGGGCAGTCGCGAGTGAGTGCACACGAGCACAGAGGTACGAGTAACTCGTACGAATACGTACAAGTACCTGCGCAACTGCGGTATGTACCATGGAAGCCAGAGGAGAGCTGGTGCTGGAAGGAGGTACCTACTCTGTACAATTGCTGCGATTGCCGGTACCTGTAGTACCAGACCTTAGTACATGCTCCCTGTGGTGCGGTGCACCTGACCGATGACATAGGGGAGGCAGGCGCAGCTCCATCAGCAGGCCGGTACCTGTACCTGTACCTGTCGCAACTCGGCGCGACTTTGTCCTGCCTCAGCGCAACTCGAAATGCGCGGTGCGGTACCACCCGTCTTGTACCGTGCCTGTCCCTACCTCCCGTCCTTGCTCCCGCCCACACCAGCAGCGTTCCATGTCCATCAATCCTACCTCTGGTGTATCACCAAGGTACATTCTGTACTAACTCCGTAACTGCCTCTATGTAATACCCTAAGCAGGTAGCACCTACTCGTACCTACCCAGAGCTCTTCTAAGCTGTGCTCCAATGTTCCAGGTAACACCCGTAAGCTGTGCCCCTACCCGCGTCTGTGCTCCCCGTGGAGGCGGCCCGCGGTCAAGAGGCAAAAGCCCAGCCGTCATCCTCTCGCAACCAATGAATCAATCAATCCATTCATCAATCAATCAATCATGTCATGTCATGTCATGCAATCGGAATTGCTTCGTCTCGTCTCGTCTCGTCTTGCATCGTCTTGCATCGTCTGCGCCCTGCGTCGCCTTTCCCGAGTCGTCTCTAGCCGCAGTCGCCGTCTCCATCCACTGGCCGAGCCGGGGAGCTCCGCCCACGGGCTCGACTCGTCGTTTGTCTTTGCCTGAAACGCCCTCGAGCCATTCATTAGTCAGTTGCTGCTCTGTTCAGCTGCAGTGGCAGCCCGGAGCAGCATCGCATCAGAGAAGCAAAGCTCAGCTCGTCCGTCCTTCCCAGCTCAAGCCCGGGCCAGGATTCGCCCAAATGGCGCCGCCACTCGCTCGCTTGCCATGACCATGATCAAACGCTTGCTTTCTGGACGGACGGACGGACGGTGCTACTGCGCTGCGATGCTATGCCAGACTCGTACTATCGTATGCTGCTAGGCATACCGATACAACTTGGATACTTGTACTCCGTACAGCCATCCATGTCGACCTGTACTGTATATCCACCCACGCCCGCGATGGTCTCAGGCGCCGGATCCAATAGCCAGGTACGGACCCGACAACGACGAGGGATGGATCTGTTTTCGGTTCTTGTGGCCCCGTTTTCGCCAATCCCACGCCCCCGGGATCCCTAGCCTCATGCTTGCACCTACCTATCCGCACATTGGCTGGTGGTGCTACCTCAGGGACTCGTAATACACCGCATGCATAACAGCCACGAGCACACATGTACAGAGTATTACTCGTGCATACATGGACAAGGCCTCGTATGCGCCCAGACGACGCACCCCGTTCCCTTTGCCTCGAGCTCGAGGCCCTTTCTGCGGCTGCCGGGCTGGTGCCAAGGTACCTACATGTACGGAGCGGCTCCAAGCACAAGCACAGTAGTAGTACTACTACTGGCATGCGCATTGCCTTGTACCTTGCTCGCTCGGTATGACCACCGTCTGCGCACATCCTTGGCCTCTTGTCTGTGTCTCTCACGCGCACATCCGTCAGTCCATCCTGTTCATCCCACTCATCCATCCAATCCATCCCATCCTCCCAAGACCAGACCCTCCCCCCGTACTGTACAGTACTTGTGCCTGCCACGCCGCAAATGGCGTCTCCCCAACAACGTGCTCCGTCAACCTACAGGACGCTGCGCCCGACGTCCGGCCTTGTCGCACCCCTTACATTCTTAAAGGGACGGGGAGGCCCTGCGGCTGCTCTCTTAGCTTCTCTGACCTCCGCGTGATTCGGGTCCTTTTGGTGATAGTGTCCGGACGAGACTTGGAGTCGTGATTCGATATCCAGCATCTTCGTATCTTCTTTGTACACCTCCTGCTCCTCGCCCGCCAGAGCCGCCCATCCATCATACCCTCATCGCGCGCGCGCGCCCACACATATCATATACACGCGCATACGCCCACACATAATCGCTTCTTATACACACATACGTACGGCACCTCGCTTGCTGTGACTCCTGGTTCGCAATGATACCGGTTCATTCGCTCCCCAGCGCCGCCGACGGCGAGGCTGATGACCCGTCCAGTTTCGACGACGACGTCTCGTCCGCCGGCTCGGGCTTCTCTCATCTGCCCCCTGAGCTTCGTCTCAAGATATGGTCCTGCTCAGTGGAGCCGCGTATCGTCATTCTCGACGATCTTGTCCACAAGCCAAAATCGTATCCCATCCCTGTTGTCACTCGCCTAAACGCGGAAGCTCGCATTGAGACTAGAGAAGGCTACGAGCCCGTAGGCCGCGGATCTCACATTCACTTCGCCAGAGACATACTGGTCTGTGACCCCAACATCTCTGATCAGAGCTCAAACACCCCCCTAGAGGAGCTGGCCCCGCTTGTCGAGAGGCTTGCCTTTTGGGATTGCTTCCCTGACGATGGGCTCATCGAGGGGCTTAACCACTACTCTGCCTACCTGGAAAGGTGGTATCCTCAGGAGCGGCCAGGAAAGGTTGAGTTTGACAAGTTTTGGTTCCCCAACCTCAAGGACCTGTGGATTGTCAAGATTGGCGAGGTGGACAGGTCCTGGATGGTTGGCGTGGACCAGAACCTACCATACGACGTGCGTCTAAGAAAGACGGCCCGGCAGTTTCGTTACTGGATAGATGAAAACATTGTCGAGATTGCGCCATTGGATCTGGATGAGCCAGAGACCAAGGCTGTTTTGCGGCAAGGACGATGCGGAAAGGAGGATTGCCAAGCGCTGAATCACGGCCGGTCTAAAATGGTTTCCAAGGTTATCTTCATGGATGGCAAGTATCGCGTCATGGAAGGCTCCGAAGGCTGGCAACGCATCATGCCGTGGTCTACCAAGATGGCGCAGGCCACCGAGAAAGACACCTCAGAAAACAGAATGAGATGGATCATCGTGGAGAGGATATTAACCTTTTCCCTAAGATGGGAAGGCCCTGATGACGAGGTAGCGACTTCAGCTCGACGAAAAGCGCCGGAGATGCCAGCACGACGGATGGTATATGAGACGAGATAAAAAAGGGGGGGAGGGGAGAGCATATTCTCCTCAACTCAACATTCTGGCGGCTTACAAAAATCTACACGACAGCGTTTCTATGAGTTTTTCAAAGGGCCTGTTTTATTCGCAGCACCACCTGGAGCTATACCACTTACACTATCGGAAAGTTACACGCTCAGCAATAACGAGCTTCTACACTTCAATTGCAGCCGCGAGATGACGGCATATCCTCAATGGAAACACAACACACTAATATTTGATCTATGTGTACTAATCGCTCGGAGACACATCTCCAAAGAACACCTCCATTTATCTTTCGGGAGACATTCAAACAAATGGGGCAGAGTTGGGAGGCACAGACGGAAATACACGCGATTTCAACCGGCCGGTCATTACAGCATTCACAGATACCGCTTGGTACATCATTTTGTCAGCCTCAGTTTAATTATTCTTTTCCGCTGTAAAGCACAAAGTCGGGACCGGCTATTTGCCAGAGGCTTCATTATACGACATCATCGGCTTAGATCACTTAGTTAGCCGGGCAAGCATCGACCTCTAACAATTTTGCTCGAACGGAAGAACATTGTGGAATCGACACTTGAACTGCCGGACCGGACATGATATTTCATCCTGGTGACGATTTATGCATCGGCACGGCACATGACGGTCGATACGCGTTCACCGGGCGATGGATGAACTTGGGAACCACTACTTCTCACTTTACGTCAGCACTAGCGATTCTATTTCCCCAGAGCCTATGGTGCTTGAATGTATGCGACCTGCATGCAACAAATGGAAAGGCGAAATTAAACGATGGACTCGCGGGGTTGACAATGTGAAGGTACTGTGATTTCTCGCATTTGCCTCTGATCCTCTTCTTCTTTTCTTTTTCTTGTTTCATTTTCTTGTTTCCTCTTCTTTCTTTCTTCGTTCTTCTTCTACTGTTTTTCTCCGCCCAGTTTGTTCTTTTTTTTTTCCGGAGGTTTTCCTACATGTTTGGACTTTTTGGAAGGGAAAGGAGATGGCTCTTTACGGAAAGGAGTTTTTAACAGTCACTCTATAGGGAGAAATATAGGAGTCATTTGGACAGGCTAAGATCAGGCATGGAGAACTAGCAGACTAATAAGCCCTTCGCAGGGACGAATGTACGAGTTTAATGAGCTGATGCTGCAACGAGGGAAATGCTTCATGAAGGTGCCTCTTTGCTTGTTTGTATAAATCGTACCTGTTTAAGATGACTCGGTGCAGAAACCCTGATAGTTGTTGTGATTTCACAGTGAGAAGCTAGTTTAATTTGGTATGTCTACGTCTATGCATTGGGAAACATCACAATCACCCGCATTCTCAGTTGCAGTCTCCCGTATTTCCTAGTATGTCCTTGGCATACCAAACTCTTTCATCTCTTGATTCGATTAAGCAGAGGCTCTCCTTTATCCCACCTCTCCAGATTCTGGAGCATTACATCTGTTATCCTCTCGGTCAACCTGGTAGACCGCCAACTGACATGTGGCGTGATGAAAACGTTTGGAGCCTTCCACAGCGGGTGTCCCTCCGGCAAGGGCTCCGGTTCCGTGACATCCAGAGCGGCTCCGCGGAGCAGTCCTCCTTCAAGGGCCTCGATCAAGGCGGGCGTGTCGATGAGGGGGCCTCGTGCGACGTTGATGAGGAATGGCTTCTTCTTGCCGAGGATCTTGAACTGCTCTGCGCCGATGCAGTGTCTGGTCTGGGGGCTCATGGGAAGACTGAGAAGAACAATATCCAGGTCCTGGCTCAGAAAGTGGTTGACGGCTTCGGGGCCGGAGCCGGAGAACCACTTTGTGGGGAGGAGGCCGTCCGGGTCGCTGGTGCCCGGCACGATGTATTCTCGGAGCTTCTTGGACTCCGGGGTTGGCCGCGGGCTCAGGGTTTGGACGTATATCTCCATGCCGAGCGCGTGGGCTAGGCGGGCGACTTGTCGACCAATTGCGCCGTAGCCCATGATGCCCCTGTTTTTGGTACACATGAGCTGGAGATTGAGTCGGGAGAGGAGATGGACTGGCTACTTACATGCGGAGGCCAACGGAGTCGGTGACGGGGTTTTTGGTGAGACCCATTTCCCAGACTCCCTTGTCTGCTTGTTCCATGTAGCTCTTGAAGTGATGTGAGTGGGCTAACCAGGCGCCAATGGCCCATTCGGCAATCTGAGGTCTGTATTTACACAATGCTCCGTTAACACCGGTCCTTGATCACATTGACAAAAAAAAAAGGAGGGGGGAATCAAGCAGGAAAACAACCTACGGATGAACGCCGCTCGTACAGCAAAACGCCACGTCCTTGTTCAGAAACGCCTCATGCTCGAGCCAAAGATCCCAGCCCGCGGATCCCAACTGGACGAACTTGACGTCCTTCATCCTGGCGGCGCTGGGCGGCGGGAGGACGGAGAGCATCGTGACGCCGTCCCAGACCTCGTCTGGCAGCTCGTCTGCGTTTGGCATGCGGTTGTTTTTGACGGGGGCGATTTCGACGTGGACTTTGAGCTGGGGGTAGCGGCTTTTGATGGTGTCGAGGAAGCCGTCGGGGAGGGGCAAGGGGTAGTGCATGAGGAGCTTGTCGTCTGCTGTGATGGGCATTTTTGGCGGTGTTTTGATATGTTGAGGATTTTTGAAAGGAATGAATGAAGGGGTTGGGGGAGTGAAGGGGGATAGCTTGTTGTGTGTTTGATTTATCTAATTGCTTCGTTTTTGCCTTTGGAGTTTCAAGCCTCGTTGGTATAAGACCTAGTGAACTCTAAGTTTCTTGGGCAAAGAGTGAGACGGAAAGGAATGCTGAAGAAAGAAATGATGAGATGAGAAAAGCAACACAAAAAAAAAGGGAGCTCTCATCAGATCTATTATGTAGTTATTCTGTTCTCCCCCTCATTCCCATTCCATTTTCTCAGAGCTTCCTTGTTATATAACCCTGACGAGCTCAATAAGCACGTCATTCACCCCGACTGAAGCCACACGGAAGCCTTTCCGGCCCAGTTCATGCCAACGTCGGGGTTCAAGACGCCATCAGCAATTGCTACAGCAGGACTGCTGCATTAATACAGCTTTAGGCGATAAGGATCGGAGAATAGCTTCGTGTAGGAATGGCTGATGAATCCGGAGCGTATTTCGCCTCGCCTCCCGATCCACCCGCGTCAACGAATCATTGCACCACTACATCACATTTCAAAAAAGAAGAACTCTGACGCCGATATAATTCATTGGATAAAAGTCGTTAACGAAGATGAGGGTGGGCTGATCTAATCCTTCTTTCTCAGCATCCGCCCAGTTAGTAGAAGCTGGTAGGGCTGTGTAGGTTAAGTTCCCGAATTTGTGATTTATTCCCTATTCAGATCCTTTTTTTTTTTTTTTCTCTATGTTGTGAGATCTTAGACCTGAGTCTAAACTGGAGCGAGCTCTTGTGAGATTTTAACACCTGGATCCTACCCGAGTCAAACAAAACCGTCTTGCCGTTGAAGCTTCTTCGCCGGAATCTTATTTAGTCAACAAAAAACGGAGATAAAAAAACGGCCAGATACACGTAATCATTGCCGATTTTATCCTCAACGAGATTCCAGCATATCCGAAAAAAAGAAAAAAAAATACTCAACATGGTCATCACATAGGCTGTTCTTTTCTCTCATCCATTTGTAATACGCAGTCTCAATAATTTTGCAATTCACAGACGCGGCACAACATGCCCCTCCCCTTCCGGAACGGCTTGGTCGGGAGCGGCACGGAAAACTTACGGTCTTCGGCCCGCCGCCGAGTTCCGCAGTCTCCCCAGCTCCGGGGGGGTTCAACGACAACCACCGCCGACTTGTGAACTGTTTCTGCTGTCATGAGCCTTGCTTAGGTACAGATGTGATAAACTATTGAAAAGCATAATCAATGGTTCCCGGGCAGGGACATTGGTTGCATTATGAGCGAATCGAGCATTTAGCACCGTGGATACTTTCTATCCTTATCTATTTCCATCCTTGCGGATAGATGACAAGAACAGACTGGCAATACGCCCTTCTAAATTACTGACTGCACTGGCTATCATCTGGAATTGTACAGATTGTCCCGTCACCCCAGACCATTACTCCCCTCAGTTCCCCCTCTTCCCATTTCTCCTTTGGCTCGAGGCCCTTGACCAAGGCGCTGTAGGCGTTTTAAAGCGCACGAGGCTCAATCCAGCCGATGGCGTTGCACCTTGTGCCCTACTGGGTACATTTCTGCCTACTCGTTCCCAGTCGCCGTTGGTGCCAGCTCTTTGATGCTTCTCGTGCTCTCCATCGCTGCCATCCATTGCTGCGCCCGGTAGCAGCAACGTCTTTGACTGTGTCTTCATCACGGCGCCCTGGAGGGCCGCCCACGACTCTACCTGACCTCTGACGGCTTCTTCGACGCAGTTGCATTCATCTCCAGCCGGACAGAACATCTCACCCGCGGCATGCCACTCTGCAAGGCAGTCTTCGTGAAACGCGCACCCGCATGACAGGCACGGTGGAAAAAGAGCGTCTACGGGCTCCAAGCAGTACACACAGCGGAGCTGGTTCTGGATGCGATGACAACGATCGCAGGTGCCCACTGCTCCACCAACTTTGGAGTCGGAGGAGGTATACCGCAAGGGGTCCAACTGAGTCTCGTGAACAAGGCATATGCCCGTCACATCCAACCCGCGGCCGGAGGCGGCCAAGATTTGCAGCTGATCTTTCTTGCCCATAATGATGGGCGACGAGCCCGTCTTGAGGTGGGATGCATTCCCGCTGGCCCCGTCGTGGAGCGTAAACGAGTCGTGAAAGCTTCCCTCTACTCCGGCAAAAGGCAATTCGTCCTTCAAAACGTTGAATTTCATGACTTCCAGTCGAGCGAGCGGTTGTCGCCACATCTGCAGCATCTCTGCATATGCATACCGGTAGTTGGCGTAAATGTTGGCTCGGCTTGGCTCCAGCAGAGGCTCGCTCAGCCAACCATCATCGTCGAATATTGTTTGATCTTCCACGAATACTGAAACGCTCACCGGCACGAGGGATGATAGATCATCTCGGCGGTATTCGTCGTCTGACACGGAGTTCCTGCCTCCACTGGAATCTCCCACGGGATAAGATGGCCCCGCGCTGGCATATCCAGTACGTGGAGTCAGCGTATTCAAGATCATCTCCGCTGGGCTTGGTTTCTTCCTCAATTGTCCCGCGGGTGGTGATGACGAGCTCGCCCCCGTGAATGATCGTGGGAAGTTTGTTGAAAATGCGGAACTTAAACCGGTGCTAACCCTTGAGAGAGGTCGGTTGGAGGGAGATCGCGATAGCATTGTTGAGGAGGGGTCCGGGTCAGCGGTCAGCGGTCTCGTTTTCGATGGTGGTGTCTCGCCACAGGAGTATGAGTTTGTGCCAGGCTCGCCAGCCCACATGATTCCATCATCGGACGCATGTGAGCCAGCATAAGGGAGCGGCGTGTGAAGAGTACCGGGTGTGGTCACATTCGAATGTGGTACACCTCTTCCATAGATATTCCACGTAGTGGCATCTGTAGGGAAGTAGTCTAGGGAAAAGGATGGCGCCTTGAGAGGAAGCGGTGTTTCCTGGGATGGAAGTTGTGATTCCACGTAGGCAACGCTGTCGTCGGCGGATGATTCGCTAAAGATGCATGAAAGCATCGCTAGCATTTGTACATCGGCAATCATCTCAAAGTAGCCAAAGAGTTCTTGGATGAAATCCTTGGCCAGCGGATGCCGGCCCCATTTCACTCGACCTAGCAAGGCACTGTCTCCTGCTGGAGTGTTGCCTTGGTCGTTGTCTAATACCCGAGTCTTGGACACAACGTCGCGAGCGATGACAAGGATAGAGCTCCGTCTCTGATTGCTGGCCAGGACTTCGAGTGGTATGCCCTTCTTTAACAGCAGGGCCAAGTAGTGCCATACATTCATAAGATCAGTGTAGCCGTATTTCTCTGCAACTCTTGCGTTATGCTCACACACATCTGCTCCGTCGCCAAAGATGGCATACTCTTGTGCAAACTCCTTCTTAGAAGGTAGATCAGGCCGTAGATCGTGGATTGATATCACGTTTCGAGGCCGGCCGATCCGTCGGCGGCTTGTGCCCGTGCCTGTGCCGGTACCTACTCCTGTTCCTGTTCCACCGCCGCTAGATCGAATTGATCGGTCTTCGCTCCAAGCCTTCCTTAGATGGCGGCTTGAATGATACCACAGGCTCATTTTATGTATTGACGTAGACTCAGAGTCGCTTGATGAAGACGAAGACTCGTCAGTTTCTTCAGAGTCTGATTGGTCCTCCGTAGCGGAAGCCTCCTCGGTCGTATACTTGTATCGCGGAAGAGGATCCTGTGTCAGGCGACCAAAGCCTGCGAAGTATGGTTGATCTATCCTAGGGCGGTCCTTATTCACATCCGCACTTGTTTGGAATAGGACCCGCGCCTTTTCTTCCTTTGTCGGGAAGAAGCAAATAAGTCGGCCGTCATGCGAGAACCGAGCTCCACAGGTCAGAGGAGGTGGTGGAATAATGAGACGGGCAGGAGTCGCAATTGCGAGGTCCGCGTCGGCAGGAGGGAGCTCCTGAGACATAGAGGCCGAACCGCCTGCTGGGATGTCTTCCTCCTCATCTGTTGAACTGTCGTCGGCCAGCCCATCATCATCGTCGTCTAAATCGCGAACGTTCTTGAAGAAAGTAGTGCTGGACTCGAGATCAACTTCGCCCAGTAAGTAGGTGAATATTACTTCCAGACAGTTTTGCTTTCTTCGTAGAAATTGTTCTGCGAGTTCATGCAGCTCTCGGTTAAGCCGCTTGTGCATTTCTTCCGGCATAAATGAGCTCTTCTCAATGATGAATTTTGGCGCTTTGAGCTTGGGATACTCCAAAGGTATATCAATTTTCACCTTGATGAAGATGGCTTCTCCGTCCTTCCCCCATGGGCCATTGAGCGAGGCACTCAGCGTCAAGTTGTCCATGTCGATATTGTCCCACTTGACCTTTGGGATCTGAGTACTAACACGCAGGAGCTCTTCTTGAATTGTGTCGGGCTCACCCCATTGATCGTCAGGATAGCCGTGGCCCATGATGCCGGAGTCTTTGGACATGAGCCGTCTAGGCCCATCCATTAAACCTCTTCTCTTCGTTATACTGATGCCCTTCATCCAACCAATCTGAGCTTGGCTCGGATCCAACCTCTTGCCCGATGCACTTTTGGCTTTCATTGATGGTCCACGCCACGCCGGCCTCATCTGACGACCAAAGGCAGCAGAAGATCGCGCAGCAGCCGTAAGAGCACTTTGCTTGTGACCAGCGCCAGTCCTTGAATCTTTCATTGTACTCGTCCGTTTGTCAAGGTTGGATGCATCATCAACGGTGCGGAATGTTTTGTACGTTGCTCCTTTCCGAGTTTCGCTGATACCGTCCAGAGCTGGGGTTCCTTTCTTGTATCCTACTGCTGAGAGGATATTAGGGTCGATGCAGTGAAGTCTTAGTTCATTATCCGTCCCCCAGGATACAAGTTGGAATTCTCGCTCGTCAATGTTATCTTCTGAAACCCCGCCTCGAGTTCTCCATAGGAACTCCTTTGCTTGGTGGCCTCCATGGCCAGGAAACACGGCAACTGGCTCC